CTAGCACCCGTGTGGTCCTGTTCTAAAGGGAACATAGAGCGAGAGGGGGGGGGGGGCACGTTCTCTTCTAGTGGAGGCAGTCTTGGGGACTGTCTCAAAAGATGGCGAGCTTAGAGGAGAGGAGGGGTGGAGGAATAGGGGTCAAGGTATTCGCACCGCTGTCCAGACTTTTGCATAGAAGAATGTCTGTGTGAGTTAGGGGGAAGGGGCAGGGGGCACTCTGACTGTCCATCTTCGAGTAACGTTAGCTGCCTTCTGACTAGGCGTTGACGGCAAAGAAAAGTCTCCAATCGGTTTGCATTTCTAGCGACTTTTAAACATTCTGCTCAGATACCACGTGCATATTAACCACGCACGGGCCCCTCGTTAAAAAACAAAAATCGACATGCTGTTGCAAGCTTTTTTGTTTATAACTCTGAACTTCGATGAGCCTATATGCTAACATATGCACTCCTCCAGCACAGAACTCCATCGCCAGTTTCGGCAGCGAAACACGAATCCGCGCCTTCGCTGTCAACGTGCATCATGTGCGGTTAAAATTTTTTAATTGTTCCGGCTGAACGCAAGATTCCTTGAGATTTTTTATGATTCCCGGTGGTTCCCGGTGATTCTTGGCGATTCCCGGTGATTTTCATTGATTCCAGGTGATTCCCGGTAAATCCCCTTGATTCCCTTGATTCCCACATGATTCCCGTGATTCCCGTGATTCCCGCATGATTCCGGCATGATTCCCGGCCCGGTGTACACATGATTCCCGGAGTTATTGCCCCCTCGGTTTTTTATAAGTATTACCCCCAACAATATACAGAAATTTCTAATAGAATACCCCGCTCCGGGTGCGCGGCGGCTAAAGAAGAAGGGAAGAAGAGCAAAAGCGATAGGTGGCAGAGTGCCGCGCGGCCGCTACGCGCTCCCCCACCCGTGTAGAAAAAATTTCCGAAAATTGACCCAAACTCGTCCGAAACTCGTCTGAACTTTTCGGACGACTTTGGTACAGTTTTCTGACTGCTCTAGGACGTATGGGTACCGTTTCGGGCGTCTCAAAGTCGTCCGAAATTCGT